GAGACCAGTGCACAGATTGGTCTGTAGCTACCAATAATTATAGCGCATAATTAAATAATATCAAATATTGGCCAACCAGTTGAATCAATGCGATTTTAATGGCCTGTGCCGGCAGCACAGTATTTTCCCACATTATCAAGGACCACCTACACTACGGAAGCACAGACGACTTGATCCAACCATGCACGCAAGATAGCAAACAGAAGGGAGATTAAGGGCAGGAAGCAAGTCACCAAGCCGGAATTTGGTCCGGGCGCAGACGTTTTCAGCCCCGCTCCAACCAGAAGTGCCAAGAAACGAGACTGGATATTATTCCCTGTTTATCAACATCAAACCTCTAGCGCCCCAGCAGCGCTGACCACAACCGGCTGCACGCCGGCTAATGCGTGGACTGGTTCTAGACAGACTTGGAGAGAAAACCAATCGCGCTGGGCTGGTGCCAACATACTCCCCGAGTGTCCGGTCCAAGTAACGCCATCGCTCTTGACTTCAAATCACAGCTTCGGGAAGGCTGTGGGCAGAATAAATACTAGTGCCCGTGTTTCCATTAGGGTCTGAATGGGATTTGTATTGTTATCCCGAGTCCAGTAAGCCGGGGTTCAGTTTTACAGCTGAAATAGGGCTTTAGCCACGTCAGGAAGAAGAAATCTGGTTATTTGACCCCAGCAGTCTTTCCTGCCCAGAGCAGAGGGGCTGGACCCCATGATCTCACCAGGCCCCGTCCAGCCCTAAACTTCTGCGAATCTGTGAAATCCCCGGCATCCTCCCCAAATAGACAGTGTCGCATCTGCGCGCAGGGAATGGATTCCCTGAGAATCTGCAAGAAATCAAGTCAGTTTTTTGCAAGACAATTGAATTCATTTTGACACTAGAACACGTAAAGGAGAAGCAGCCCAGTAAATGAATCCTTAAACGGAGGCAAAATCCATTTGGAGCAGCAAGCACTAGTCAAATTCACGTGGCTCATGCCTGGTGTCACCAGAGGTTTGTCTGGATCATCACCGCCTTTACCCTTGAATTACCTGCATTTTAGCTAGTTAGCATAACGACATCAGCCCTTGGATGCATGTTCCCCTAAGCAGCCTGTATGCTTTCCCAGAGCCTTTTTGGGGGAAATGATGCTAGGTGAAGCAGCAGCGACCTTCACTCTTTTGTTTAAGGAGGCCGTGACTATGCCAGGAATCAAACAGGTCCTTTCCCCCAAGCAATACATCTGGCATTTGGCAGCTAAACTCATTTACAATAAGCTTCTGACTTGTGTAGTAGGGCTGTGTACAAACCAACAGAGTTAGGCAAAGGCGTGGGGCTGGGAACAGGGAAATCTGTTCCCATTAGCAGATATTTATTTTCTCCTTGTTTGTGCTTGCACTGAGTGCGGGGACTTGTTAAATAAGCCACAACAGCAACTGTGTCATTTTGGAAACAAAATATTCAGATACAACAGAAGACGCAGCCACCCAACGAAGAATCCCTCTTGGGAATTATGGAGCAACGATGTACAGTTGCAAAGAGTGACCCTACCCTTTCAGAGGCACCGCCAAGGTGAAAACCTCTCCATCCAAGCAGGCATTTCTAGGCTTTGCATTGAAAATATCCCGGATCCCGTACACCTGCAGGCAGCTCCCTGGGCCTCGCCCCCGGGTTCTGGCATAGCTCGTAAGACCCAGATTCAGCAAAGCCCTTTGGTGCACGCTTACAGCTCAGCACGGCTCCAGTCCCATTAAGACTTGAGCACAAGCCTAAGTCCTTTGCTGAATATCGGAGGATTTGCACAGAGGGCAGCACTGAAGTGTCTACAGAGATCCACGGGGGACCCGCTCCCAACAGATCCGTCTCTCTCACCTGCGCTGCCTCTCTAGCAGGGGGTCTCTTTGGATCCTTGGGGAGGAGGGGGGGGAGGTTCACCACCCCCCCGGCTTCAGCTGATAGACATTTTAAAGAAAAGGTGCCCTCAGAGCAAAAGGCACATCCTTCCACCTGCTGGTAACTCCTCACCCTGGCCAAGGAGAGGGCTGCCAAATGCCAACACGGACAGAGGAACCCATGTCAAAGCTACTACGAAGCACGGCAAGCCAAGCTGACAGACAGCAAAGCAGCCTCTGGCTTGTGCCCTTGCAAAGGGATTGGGGCCACCTGGCTGTTAGTTAGGAGGACCTGATTCGGGGCATGATTTATTTCCCTAATATTTGGGACCAGCTGCACGGTCAGAGGCAATGAAACAGGCTGGGGAGGTCCAATCGGACAAGGAAGGGCTGATGCAGAGTGGAGACGGGGCACGGATGCAGCAGATGCACGGATACGGTCCCGGTGCTGCTTTTGCTTTTGTAGCAGGGTTTGCATTCGGCACTCCTGCACTTTGTGGTAGAAGCAGCACCAAGGAAGAGCCAAGCCCATTCGAAGGGTTGTCTGTATGGGGCGTTATTGCAGAAGAGCCGATGAGCTGTGGTCTGTCCAGGACAGCGCTCTGGGGGAACACAAGTTCCAGGTCTTTATCCCAGCTCTGCTGCAGAAATGGACTGAGCCGAACTCAGATCAGGAGCTGTTCCTGCAGAGTCAGAAAATCCTCCCTCCCCAGGACATAGGGCATAGGCATGCAAATGGCTGAGAAGTAGAAGAGGACAGGCATTCACCCCATCCCTACCTCTGCACACACTCTTTTCCCGTGGTAAGTCCAAGCCGGCCTCCAGTGCCCTTGGTCTGCAATGACAATAGATGCATTACTGGAGATAGCTTTAGGTTACCACGGGGTAAGGGTATGAATGCAAGCAGTCCCCACAGAGCAGCCAGGTAAAGCCCCACTCTCCCTTTACCCCTTAGTAACTTGTTTGCATGCCCTTGCCTTTACTTGGGAGTAATTCTTTAGCTTTGGATCCACCCCAGACCTTAATCCAAATAAGATCCACTGAATCCTAGGCCAGCCCTGACTAATGCTAAGGTTGTACTGACAAGCATGCTCTATATTCCCGGCACATAATCTAAAAGCCTATTTCAACCAGCCTGCTGACAATTCAGCCTAAATACTTAACATATTTTCTTTAACAAGATGCATTTTAAACAGCAGTAAAAAAAGAAGGTAAAGGCAACTCACTTGACACCATCTTATCTTTATATACATTTATCTTAGACCAATAATCCAAAGGTTACATAACCATTATTGAATAAGAACTAGCAAAAACATTTGCAATGGGTAGCAGTAAGTCGGATTTATATAGACCTATGAACATCTAAAGACCCCGTTTCATAATACTTCTGCTTTAAAGTGCCAGCCAGCTGCTCAAAACACGGATGGAAATTTCCAAGAGTGTTTTCTATAGGGATTTGCCATTTCCCTTAGATGATGTGGAGAGAACTGGGCCAGTTCCCTTAAGGAAGTTTAGGTGCATTTGGTTTGCGTGGAGATTCATAGTTTACAGCTAAACGGGGGGGAAGTCAGAGAACTGAAGTCCCACCGAGTCCTCAGCCCTCAACTGATGAGCGCCTGAACTTGCCGGCCAGCCCCACGCATCTGAGACGGGCGCACTGTCCAGGAGCTCCGCAACGCCCAGAGCCCAGCACGCACTTCCCGAGAAGACACACTTCAAAGCAGTGCCGGTCACCAACGCCAGGTGTAAATGCAAAGTACAGCCACAGTTACAAGTTTCTGGCACAGCACTGAGAGATGCTGTGGACATTACTGGCAGCTCCCGTGGTCCCAAGGGAGAAGCAGCCCCATCGGGAACGCAACGGGTGGTTTTAACGAGGCCCTCGAAAGGTCCCAGAGGGCAGCGGGTGCAGGCGCCGACAGAACGGACCGCTCGCGCGGGAGCCGGACGTCCCACCTAAGGGAGCCGTGGGCAGAGCCGTCGGGATGGATTCGTGGCAGGCGAGAGCAATGCGCTTTGGCTCTCGCCATTTCCCATGGCAACAGGACTCCGGCTCCGCATTGCACGAATGCTTCGCAGCCACGGACCCGACGCAGAGGGAAGCGAGCCGCAGCCTCCGCAGCAGGATGCCCCGCTGGGCCCGAACCCGTGTGCTGCCGGCTCCTCCTATTCAGCTGTGCCCCAAACCTCCTGGGGTTGAAACTGCTTTCGTGCCACAACTGGCAGGTTGCCTCCACAGAAATCCCTTGTATACAACGCTCTTGCTGCCTGGCAGCTACTGGGCTGCAGCTACATGCAGGGAGCAAAGGGCCTGGAGGTTTGCACTGTGAATGCCAGGCTTTGATAGGATGTGCATGGGGCTGAGTCAGGCCTCGTTTGGGTTCGGTTTCAATAGGCTGGATGGGGTCCGCCCCGCAGGTGAAGGAAGCCATTTCAGATGCCAGCAAAAGAAGACACAAAGAAAGAGCAGGAGCCTATTCCCACTGCCTAAAAAGTGAGGTGCCCCCGCTCTACTCCAGGTAATGATTTTCCACACCGGGTCTTACGCTCCGGCTCTCCGAGGGCGCTTACTTCCCAACCAACAGTCAGGGACGGGAAAGCACTTTTTAGAGCTGCCTGCTTTATGATCACATGCAATCGTGAATGCTGGACTTTAATCACATCTGCCTTCCTAACATCATACTTAGAGCAGCAGAGATAGCACAAGCTCCTTTGATCCTTATGGTATCCTTATAGCAAAACATGACCTACTTTCCAGCTCATTTTCTGGAAACAGGCTAAAAACTCAAGAGCAAGTCTAAGAAGACAGGACTCCTTTTCTCGGTCCGAACCAGCTGTTGCAGCTGTTGGCTGAACCCACTTTCCTTTTTGCTGTTCTTTTATCAGGCTTAAGACAGGAGATGGAGATGGGAGTCCAGTTCGCACAGCCTGCACTGGACCACGTACAGCTAGCAGGACGATGAACTAGGAGGGCAGCATCTCCACATCCCGCCCTTCTGGCTACCATGCTATTAACTCCTTACGTTGCACATCTCAGTGCTTTATTCAGGAGAGTGAATTGCAGAATCAGAGCAGCTGACCAGCAGAAACTTTCCTAATGCCTGCCTGCCTTCACCTCGTAGTGAAGGTGCTTCTGATTAACAACGTTTCCAAGGGCGGAGAGACCCAGAGCAACACAAAGACACCTGGGGAGACAGGTGGGGCTGGAGAGGGAGCACAGGGTAGAGCACTGGACACCTGCCTCTAGCAAACTGAATGCAAACCCAGCTTGCACCAGCTGTGGGGGGTGATTGCACTGGTCACAGACCCCAAAGGGGCACCCTTTCTTGCTCCATCCACCGTGGCAGTCAAGGTGTCAGCTTGACAGTGTGATCTGGTTGTGGGTCATTTGGGTTTCGCCCACATTACAATGCTAGGAGGTTTGAGACTCACCCACTGTCACCAGGGTCGTGACACAATTCCATCATGGTGCATGTCTTTATCCACTGCTCCCTCGTTGTCCGTGACACCATAAGAAACAAGTGTGGCCCGATGTGCAATGACCGGCACTGGAACATGGAGCACACCGGGGTTATTGTTTTATAGTTGCATGGCAAGAAACAGGCTTATGAAACATGCTGTGCTCATAACTGATCTGTGTAACCATGTGTATTTGCCCCTCTTCCCCCAGCTTCCTGCCCCACAACACTTTCAAAAGGTTTGTTCCACCTACTTGTCACTTCCCGCCTTAATTCAGATCATGGATGTTTAGGGCAGATCCCATCGTTCACTGCAAGGCCACAAGGCTCCCATCTCGAGCAAGGCTTCGAGACACCGCTGCTGTAGAAACGGCAATGCTAAAAAGTGCAGAGTGTGGGGGGATTTGGGAGGAATGATAAAAAGGGAGAGAAAAAAAAAATGCCCCACAGCTGAGACTGAGCCATTGTTCAAATAATGGAGAAAAAAATGGCACAAGCCTATAAATATACTAAGGCAAAAACAAACCATCAAATACAGCCAGCAGCAGTCAGAGGTCAGCAGAGCACCTGCTCCACGGAGAGAAGCCATCAGGCTATCGACACAGTGATTTCATCAGCTCAGCACGGCTGCAGGGGAGGTCTTCGAGATACCCGACCCTCCGCTCGGGGTCAGACCAGTTACCGCATTTGGCATCAGGAAGGCATTTTACCCCACACTGATCAGCACAGACTGTGGTGGGGTTCACCTTCCTCTACAACGGGGAGCGCGGCGCTCTCCCGTGGATCTCTAGGTTGCATTATACACTACTTCCTCCCCTCGTTGTGGAAGGATGGTGACAGTGCCCTTGCCCCCAACTTCACTTCTGGTAAGGTACCAAAGAGTGTTTCTGGTCCTTAAGGAGTTATGCCAAATAATTGTGCAGGAGGGTGTAGTGGGTTGCCAATTTGCATACCAGTCTTTATTTTCCCTGGGGTGGACTTGCCCCACAGGACACAACACAAGTCATAAATCATTGAACACCGAGTACAAACAAGAAAGGGTTAACCAGACCCTGTGGTCTTTTCCCAGACCTGGAGAGAGTACCCCGTCTTGATGCTGCCATCCCTAGCCTCCCAAGCCTGCCCTCCCCCCACCCCCCAGCTCCCTTCCCTGGGAGCTTTTAACTTCCTCTGGGCCAGCTAATCATCCTCAGCAGCTGGTCCAGCCCTCCTAGGCAGGCATGCAGTCTCTTTCTCACCCTCTGCAGCTGAGCTGTAGCCCCCACAAGACATTCATCCTTCTACAGGGGGTTGTCCCCAAACTTTAAGAGCAGGTTAGATAAGCACTTGCTCAGGAAGGTTTAGATGGGGCTGAGCCTGCCTTGAGCACGGGGTTGGATTAGATGGGACCTCCAAGGTCCCTTCCAGCCTGACTTTGCTATGACACCAGACACATTGGCTGATGACTTGCCGCTGGAGGCCCACGCACCACAGTGATAAATGGTATGAAGGAAGTGAAACGCTCCCCATTTGCTATTTCAGGAGGGCACAACCACATTGCAGCCCTGGAAATAAGCTCAGCCAAGTGTTGCTGACCTCCCATTACGCTCCCAGCACCTCTTCTCTTGAACCGAGTGACCTGGCTTGACAGAAAACAGAAGCCAGTTTCTTATGCAAAAATCACCCGCAACAGTTGGGAGGGTCCCTATGCTGCTTCAGGAGCTCGTAACAAGGCAAGAAGAAATGAAGAATCGAATGATCAACCGAGTCAAGTGACATGAGATTTAACCCTGATGAAGCCCCAAGTTGGCAGACTCTCCTGGCCCAGTTAAAGATTTATTAGTATTTCACACCTTAGGGACACAGCTGCGGTGGAGAAGAAAGATGGGCAGGGGAGACTATGTAAAAATAACAGCAGTTAAAGCAGCAAAGGCCATGTAGTGAGGTCTCTAACCTCTCGCTTCTGAAGACAAGGGTTCACATAGTGATCACCGAGGAAGGACGTTTGCATCCTCCACCAAAATTGCTCATAAATGGACTGTCAACATCATAAAACCACCGCCGCTCCACTGGTACACTAGTGCCTGCCTCTGTGCCAAGAGGAGACTGGCTTGGATTGGACTAGCGAGGATGGGTCAGGTCTGGACTGAAGGTGAGCCCATGACTTGAAAAAATCTCAGGAGATGCCGCAGGATAAAGCTGAGCCACAGTGGGAAGCTGAAATACTGCACATGGCTTTTACCTCATACAAAATGAGGGTTCGAAGGGACCTCAGGAGGTCACATCTAGTCCAACCCCCTGCTCAAAATCAGGACCAGCCCCACATATATCATCCTACCAAGGCTGTGTCTAGCTGGGCCTCAAAACCTCCAAGGACGGAGACTGCACCACCGCTCTGCGGAGCCTGCCCCAGTGCTTCACCACCCGCCTAGTGAGATGGTTCTTCCTAATATCCAACTTAAATCTCCCGTGGTGCAGCTTGAAGTATTAAGTATCAAATTTAAGGAGTAGTCACTCAAATAGACCTTGCCCTCCCACACTTACTCCTAACTTAACACCGCTGCTCCAGGTCCTAGAGACAAATGGCAGGGGAGGGGAAGCAAGCAGAAGTTTTACTGCAGATCTAAAAACAGAACTTCAATTCAGAGGTAAATTTATCGATCCTTGGCTCCATCTCATCCTACTCCCATGACAGAAACCCTATTGCCAATGTCAGCATCTTGCAAAGGCTACATTTCAGTGGGCACTTCCTGCTGTCAAGCCTCAGCACCTGAGCATGTACAGAAATGAATAGGAGACCGATACGGACAAAGAACAATGCAACTTTCCATTCCGGAGCCTGTCCGGCAATTAATCTTCATGTTCTGTGTAATTACTGCTTGCATCATTTCCCATTTGAAATATTGACAGGGTGCTTTTGTCAACATCCATTTGTCCTCCTGAGCCCGTCAGAGTCTGAACGCTCGATCTTCTGGCACCTCCTGCCACCTTCACTGCCTACGTGAAACAAGACCGCGTTGATCCCTGATTTTCAGAAATCCACAGCTGTGTCAGCTGCACTGACCGTCCAGGCAGTGGAGCTGGTTACGCACCAGCCAGGGGGTGGTTTTCCTCTCCTCCCCATCCCGCAGGCCTGTTTTGAAAGCTGTACCCCACCCCTACTCAAGCACAGCATCCAGCTGGTGAATGACTACTAAATGTTTGAACTTGCTAGGTGCTTTCACACTAGCTGGGGACAGTCTGTGTGCCCTACTAGCTTTCCTCTATTCAGCCTAGACAGAGGTTCATGATTCTTGCTCTAACACAACCAAAGCATAGGGGCTGAAGCTCAGAAGTGAGAAGGAAGATGGGAAAAATTGAGGTTTACAATGGTTAAAGGTGTCCTGCACTCAGACACCTCCCCTGCCCCTCAAGACAGATTCCCTCCTGCTCTTCACGGAGAAGTAATGCCCCCTTGCCCATGGGGAGTCAGCAGACAGACAGGAGAGCAGGGCAGAGGGCCGCTGTAGCTGGCACCTCCTCCAAGACATGCAAGTCACTTACCCCATTGCAAAGCTGGTAGAGTTAAGGGGGTGTAAGCAGGTCTAGTTCTCACACCTCCTTGCCAAACTTGAGCCTGGACTGAAGTTAAGAGGATGGCAGCGGGGGCAGAAGAATGGCGTTTAAGCAATAAGAGCCTGGAGACAGTCCACGCACAATGGCTGAAGTGACAGCCCCTCCCCACCTCTCTTCCATAGGGGGGAAAGATACAGCATCCCAGCTGCACCCCCAAGCTGGGCAGTAGGTGAGATGGGAAGAGAGATGCCAGAAAGGGGAGGACAGAGCATACCATGATCTTTGCTTGTGGCCTCAGCCCCGGGAACAGCTGCAAGAGGAAGGAGCTGGGAGGGCGGAAAGGTGCAGGTGGATTGTGCCAAGGTTAGCACAAAGGGTCAGCGCTATCACAGGCACAGCACGCACGTGCCTGGTGGAGGAAGACAGCACACTTAAGCCAAAAGCATGTGTAAAGGGTACAGGTGCAGGCATACCGGGCAGATTGGTATCTAGGTAGCAAAGGTTGCAAGCTTTCCTGTATGCAGGAGACCTCAGCCTCCTGGCTTAGGGGGAATCTAAAATGAGCCTTTTTAAGGGCATATTCACTGCGCAGGGCATCAGCTAATTATAGCAGCTTGCCTTGTGATTCAAGAAAATAGCTTGACACAGACACGGCAGCAGAGGAAACTGCAGTCAGCCGTGACTTTGGTGGCACTTTATTGGCCAAGTGAAAAACACAGATGTGGTAAAGTGCGTGGTAGGGGGAAGGGGGCCCAGTTCCCTTTACTACAGTTTTTTACCCCCTCTAGTCATTTCACAAGTGCTACATCTAAAAGCTTCTACCAAGATAGCACTGTTAATCACCTCCCTGCCCCCAGCATACCATACAATGTTACACCGGATAAATGAGTGTAAAACATGAAGATGACTGTGTGTAGGTGCATCCCGCTGCTCAAAACATTTTTGTTGAACAAATCTGGGGCAAAATGAAAGCAGCCAGTGACTAAAAAGGTACATTTTCCTTATGAATAAGACTTTGGACAAATTGTACATACTAAACATTTATTGCCCTCTTGTAGAACAATTGCAAAACTCAGCTTCAGGCAGAACAGCATGAGGGGAGGGTGCTGCGAGATCGGCGCGAAGACACGGGTGGAAGCAGTGAGAACCAGACAAGGCTTCATTCCTCACCTTAGCCATCCAGGCTGGCAAGGCAAGGCAAGGCGAGCCCAGCCCTTCCAAGTTCAACATCCTATTGGATTACAACCAAATCTCCTGCACATTGAGCAAGAGTCAGAGGGCAGGGGCAGAAACCGAGCTTAGGGTCGGCCACCGAGCTCGAGCGAGCCTAAGGAACGGTGAGAAGCCAATGTGCCATAAAGAAAAATAAATACGTCGGGACAGAAAGAAAACCCCAGCCTCCATGATCAGCTGTAAGCAATGCAACAAAATACCCTTTAATGCAGGCCACAGGCACGACATATCCCGTCTGCTCTTCACAAATGCATTTCACACACATGCCAAGGGACAAGAGAGGAGAAACAAAACACAACTGCTCTCTCGAAGGGCACGGGGGTTTTAAACAGGAGTTACTGACATGGGAAACCCCTCCCACCCCCACCAAAAGCAGTCCAATGCCACGTCCCTGAGAAGAGACGAATCTTGCATCAGAACAAAACCGCTCGCAAAGGACAACAGAGATTTATTAAAACAACGACAAGCCAACAAGAAAGGGTCATCATCAGCACCACTGCACTGGTCACTCTCTTTCCACTGGCACTGGGCGGAGGGTGGGCAGGCTGGAGCTTGCACGTGCACAGTCCCATCACTTGTGGGAGCTCGACTCCAGCAGCAGGCGTCAGCTTCGACGTGGGGCCTGGGGTTCCCTCGAAGCGAGTACATTAAAATGTGATGGTTTCAAGACCTGGGTGAAAAGAAAGTGAAAGAGAGAGTGTACCCCCTGCCAAATACACTCTGCTTTTAGAACAGCCAGAACAGGAGCACAAAGGATGCTTCAAAACCTCTTCAATCAGAAGAGTGGGGGGGGAGCAAAGTAACATGTATGTTGCAACCAAGAAATAAGCACCAATTCAGAGATTAGGTTTAAATGAAATCCCCCTCCCCTGGGCTCCGGACCTCAAAACACTGGGCCCTCCTCCCTTTTACAGGTTACCTGCGACTGTCATTCAATGAGCAAAAGAGCCCTGGAAACGGAGAGGCAGGCAGGGGAAGCATCAAGGCGTAATGGAGAGCAGCAAGTTTTTAGACCCTCTCAGTGCCGCTTCCAGCAGCAAACTGATGTCCTACATGTAGCACCAGACACGGAGAGACCCAGGAAAGGGAAGGAAAGCAGGGCTGACTGACAGAGCTCGTGGGGCTGGCTTCGGGAAAAGATTTAAGCAAATTACTGTATTTTTTTTTTTTAAAAAGATGGATGCATGCAGATATTTGAAGGGCGTAAACCAATCTGGAGGAGTGAGAGGATTTCTTTAGGGCAGAGCAGGCAGCTCTAGGGATGGGACGCACCAAGGGCCAGAACGCAGAGCTGCATGCCTGAGGAACTGACCCACAGGAGGAAGGGAAGTGCCACTGGCTCGACACGTGCAGATCAGATGGGACCAAGCACCAAGGCATTCAGGGCGTGTTCAGACACAAGGTGTTGCGCCATGCAAGCTGCTTCCTGGACCAGAAACGGTGCATGGGGTAATTAGCACGGGGCAGGTGAATGAACAGCGTGAATTACCCCACCTGCAGCACTGTGTAGTCACAGCTATGCTGCTGCCAGTCTTGAAGGCAGCCATGTGGAGTGGCTGAAGGCACAGTGAGCTTGTGGCCTAGATTCAGCCTCAGATTAGGGAATATCCCTGCACTAACAAGGCAGATAACCCAACAGGCTTTGTCTCCTTCTGCCTTTGATATGCTGCGACATTCAGTCTCTGCACATACAGCTCCTGCTGATAGCATCCAAGCCTCTGACCTGAGGGCAATCTATTGCTCAAAGCATTTCTCTAATCAGATGGAGGTTCCAGTAATGATAGTGCTGTCAAGAGGGGAACTGTTTGTGCTTGCTCCTCAAGAAGCAATTCTACAACATCATCATTTCTCAGCTCCTGTGAGCAAAGGCGAGCCAGCTACCCCAGCAACATCACATACGGGAGGTGGAGAGGAGGGTCCTGTTTAGCAGATGCTGTAGTCAGACCCTATGCTGCAACAGTGCAGGAAGCTAGAGATTCGGTTTCCCGAGCTAGAACAGAAATTCCAGCTGGCTTGGGCTGCCTACGCTTGAGGGGGACCCCTAGGGTTCTGGGCTACAGATAATAAAAGAGCACCGTGTCGCGAGACCACCCTTCAATCTCTCCACCAACTACAAGATGGTGTAGAGTTTTCTCTTTTCTTCCATTTCTGTTTTCCTTTCCCTTTTTTTCCATTTCTCCACTCCCTCTTACACATCCTCTAGAAATTTACTGGGGGCTGAAACAGCTCATTCAGTCTGGCTGAAATAAGTATGCAGCCATGTTAGCAGAGATTGCACCAAGCCAGTGAAGAGAGAACGAAAGCTGTACTGAAACCTGCTCTGCTTCATCTCATGGCGAATTAATTCCACCAAGAAAACAAACTGCAGAAATCTGGGAATATTCTGACTCCATAAAGGAGCAGAAAACAGTCACTGCCCTGAGCAGAGCCTCTGTCCTGCTGCAGTAGGGCACGTGGAGGCTGCAGACACACCACATCCAAAACCAGAGCCACCGGTTAAGCTTTGTTTCTGAAGCACCAGGACATGCGTGGTGGCATCAGGCAGAACAGAACTGTACAGCAGACACAGGAAAGCAAAATGCCTTGTAAGACCAGGAGAAAGATCTGAAGCACTGGGCTGAGGGAATCTCTCCCTAGAGGCAGCCTCCCGGGAAACACAGACAGATCTGAATGTTGGGGGGAAACATGAAAGGAGCAAAGCCTAAACCAATTAGGAAAGGTGCAGCTCAGTGCTGTCAAGACACTATGGAAGATCGTTAATAGACCTGACAGTCAAGGCATGCAGGAGTTTGGAGCCCACTTCATTAGCAGTGACAACATTTGAAACCAGCAGTCGCTTTATGCAGATTCCATAACACCTTTTAACTTACAAGTTTTAACTCCTTTCTACCTAATGGGCTTTCAGAGGGGGCAACTGAGGTGCCTATACCAACCACGGGGGGCAAGGGAAAGGCTGCTCTTTGTTCCCTGCACAAACACTGGTAGAGCAGCAGCCCCGTCCTGCTACTGGAGAGACTCCTACGGTACATCCTGCTGCTGCATAGACCGCTTTTCCACATACACTTTAAATATGAAGATTCACATTCCAAGTTGCAGAGTCCTTACCCAGGTTACAGCTGTCTTTTGTAGCCCAGGAGATGCAGTAGTGCTGCATTAGCTGCTCAAGCAGCTCCTTTTCATCTAGGAATTCAAGCCCCTCTATTCTGTAGGGAAATTAAAGAAATGGATTTGAAAACAAGCCCTCAGGGCATTCTGTAACATGCATGTGTTCATCCCACAGCAGCAAGTGGTGCCAGAAATGGCAAGGCCCAGGGAGTAGTCACTTGTATTAACAACTTACCTTTTTAGTGTATGAACACAGGTAAACCCACGAAAGGGAAAATGCCAGCATGCTGAGCTAGTATGGGACTAATGACCCATGAAGTGTTCTCTGCCTCCGATTCCTAGGGTTCAATGTGCTGGTGCTAGCCTGCACTCCTTTATGTCAGAACACTAACATTTGTACTCCACTCTTTTACTTAGCACAGGGATGCAATGCTATGGGCTGACAGAGATTTTGTTTTGCTGTGCAATTCCAGCTTATCATTTTTGATTATTCTCTTCTCAAAGCCACAAATAACCGCCCAGAGAAAGCCAGGGCTTTTCATTTCTTTGCATGCCACCTGGCTCCAGAAAAATCACTCTCCTGCACGGGTGACTGAGCACAGACTGAAACCTCCCGACTGAGATGTGCAACTGTTATCGTGGCAGGGTTTAGTCTCCAGTTGTGGACCAGGGCACAAAGCAATCACAGAAGGAACACTAGCCCTGCCCCAGATGGTGTGCCACCTGACAAGCCCAGCATGTGGTTGGATACCATACACCTTACTCTGCACCAACACAACCACTGAAGTGCTGCTGCTTCCCGTAAGGGACAAGCAATTCCTAGGTGCCCTCGTTAAGGCTGCGAAATCACCAAGGAGGAGGCAACCATGACTACAGAGCAAAATCCAGGTTCTGTAATAAGTTTACTGCAAAGGCAGGAGTGCAGCTCTTTCTAGCTGACAGCCAGCAGTGGGCACTATCACACACCTGGCCCGGAAGTGGGTGGCAGGGGCTGGTAGTGGGTTTACCTTAAGCAAAAGACTACCCCAGGATGAAATGAATGATGGCAGCAGAGAAGCAACAGGTACTCCAGTGTAACGTACATCTCGCTTAGAGGGAGAACTCCCTTCTGGAGTAGAGTGACTTATGCCAGTGTACGACCGAGCGTGGTGTGCCCACTCCACTCGCACTACAAGAGTGAGGTCAACTTATTCTGTGGCAAGCATGTGGTGTGTCCACACCCCCTGGACAAGAGCTGCTCTAGCAATAAAAGGCAGGATTATCCTCATGTTGTACTGAGGGTCAGTGTTGAGCTGACCTTTTAACTGGCAGCTGGGAGAAGCTGAAGAACAGTCCCCGTTTCGAACAGTGCTGTAAAGCACTAAGCATAGTTCTTCCTAAGGGCCAGGTGGTGAAAATCCACCTGTCACCCTGGCGGAGAATGGCCAACAAATTGTCAACCCTGCCCCTTCCCGTTCCCAATGTGGGAAC